TTTTCTTTGAATTTAGATGAATCATTTTCACATATTACAAAATGTTTTTCGTTTTATTATTTTGTAAAAAACATCAGTCATAAAATCAAATCAAAGGCTGATTATACTTACATATAAACTAGACATCATGAAGTACAAAATGGTAGACGTTGAACCTTCGTAACATTTGAACTTTTAAAATAACCAAAAATCTAAAATGTTGTATTAGAGGTGGATAAATAATTTTGACAATCATTGTATATTTATAGATTTCATCATCTACACAGCGAGATAATAATTTTATTGCTGATATAAACGGAATGTTATAAATACCAAAAAAATGTCACGTTTGTTAAAAAGAAAAAAGAATAGAATTGGTTGTAATTTTACTCTGTCAAAGATGAAAATAAATTTCATAGTGTTAATGACAAAATATTATTACTTAGAAAAGTTTATTGTGTTTGTTCAAAGATCAAAATTTGTTGTTATCAAATATTCTTTCAATCGGTAGTTTCTATCAATAATCCCGACCAATAATATTGTGGGTTTTAATATGATTAATCAAAATGAAAGAAAAAACGCGAGATTTATTTCAAAAAAAAAAAAAAAATTCATAAATATTCATGTAAAGAACGAGAAAGATCGAATTTCATTGTATGTAGAGAACAAAAATTTTAAATGAATTCTACTTTATGTATAAGTTACTTATTTTTGAAAAATCTTTTGATATTCAAATAAAATTAAAAATTAATTTTTATCATTTCAATGATTTATTTGAAAATATACTTTCTAAGTTCCACTCCTATCATTTATATCTGAATATGAAAGATCGAAATTTTTTCATCGACGACTACAAATGTATGAAGAAACAAATTCTTTTTTAATCTCGATTTCTGTAACTACTATTTCGAATAGTCCTGATAAATCTGATTTGATCTTGATGTATAGACAAAACATTTCAGAACTGATTTGTTTAATATCTAAAACTATTCTTACCTATTCTTATTTTTTTATTTACATAGTCAACGAATAGTAGGTTTTTTTTTGTCATCTCTTCTGAAATAGTATGTTTTGATTGGTATGATTCATAAAATGAATCGTCCAAAGTCATAGAACATTTAACTATAATCTTTATTTTCGATTTAAATAATTTTTTTTTTTCTTATAGTCTCAGTACCGATCTCGGCAGCTTCTCCTTCTCATGATTTTGATTTCGACAAAAATTGAAATTTCTCTTTTTTTTCAATAGATTTCTACTTACGACAGATGTGATGTCCTGCAAGCAGAGTATATAAACGATTCTGAAGAAATTCTTTTGTTTACACAAGAAACGTATTGAAAAAGAATATTTCACCTTTCTTGCAAATGCAACAGTACTGATTTATTTACTTTCCAATATTGACTTAATTTTTCTCCTAGTATTATATGAAAAGAAGTACTACTTCTTTTTCTTCAATTTTATTCTTCAAACAAACCTGTTCTATCGAACGTTCTTTGTATTCAATTGATGATCATATATAAAATTTAGTTTTTTTTCTGTTATACTGGAGGTTAATCCTCATTTGGCTTCAGTTTCAATTGCACAAGAATCCAAACAACTTCTTAAAGCAATCAAAGGCTATGAAAAAAACGCCATTGCTTTCATTTGCAAAGGTATGTGAACCTCTTTTTAAAATACTCAATAAATTGAAAGAGAATATTCTTGTTGCAAAGAAAAATTCCAGGCAACCAGCAGATTGACTCACTCAAGATGAATCAGTTTCCATTCATTTCTATACTATGGAATGAGAAGAATCAGATCAAAGCCTTTATGCGGGTATTCAATTGAATATTGAAAATACCTGAACATCAAATACTTAAACATTGGTTTAAATATCTCAAACTTTTTCTTACTACTCTCTTTAAACTTTCGTAAGTAATATCAAATCTCACTATTTATCTATTATTTTTTCAAAGTTTCAAAATTAAATTCAATAGTCTTAAGTAATTCAAAAATAATTTACAAAAGCCTCAATTCATTGGTAAATCAGATATTCGAACTTTCTTTTGTATTGAAGGTACATCAACAAGAAAAAATATTAATTGTCATTCATATTTTAAACAAGAAAATGAAATTCTTCTGCTGCCTGATACAAGTCTTGAAGTACTCAGTTTAATTCATCGTACAGATGGATTTCATCTTGTTCATCTCTTCGTCAAGTTAAATTATCTAATATGAACTTCTTGCTCAATCTTCTAATGATATATCGATCCAACCTAATCCATCTTCATCAGTTCAAACTTCGATTCTATCACGTTCTAATTTGACTCATACATCGAAATCAAAACAATATGTTTTCGATGATGATAGTTCTGCTAATGAAGCCTTAAATTCTGCATATAAAAGTCTACAATTTCTATGACATATGAACCAACACAATAATATTTGTAAAAGATCATGCAATCAATCGAAAAAAATTCTTTCTTCTGTTCAGTCATCAATGAATCAAAATTTATAAAATATTCGAATACCGAAGTTACAAACATTAAAGAATGCTAAAGGTAAATTCTTTCGTATTCATGATGTAAGGCCAACTATTATCATGATTCTAAGCCGATTTTTTGAAAAATAAATATTTTCAGATATAAGATAGGTTTTTTCTTCTTAGGATGTATCGAAATAAACTATATTGATCGTATGGATAATTATATTGTTGTTCAAAATACAAGTACATCTAACGAAAATGTTCAAAATATGATAGACTGATCAATTAAAAAGACAACCGATATGAATAATACATTGACCTATGAATTGCCTGATAATTTTATTCTTACAAATCGTATACTCGTTCGTATTCTTGCTCGTAATACAAGTAAAAAAAAATCATTAGTAGCAACTCCAAGAGATGGAATGATATCTCTTATCGCTGATAATATAATAACATGGTGAACAGACACAAATACGACTAAACAATTGATCGATGATAACAAGAAATAACAAACAATTTATACTCAAAAATTTGTATGATAGAAGAAAAAAATAAAACTTAAATGTTACATTTTATCTTAAAATTGATTATTTTTTATATTAGAAATTAAAAATTATGATAATAATAATTTCATTTCAAAAAAAAAAAAAAAAAAAAAAACATATATCAAATGATAAACAGATGACGGCAAACAAATGTCTTGATAAAATTTTATCTTCTCTTAAGAAAGAAAATAAAAATAAGAAACGTTTTTCTTTGAATAAAATTCTCATCGATTTATGCTCAATAAAACATGTTATCTTCTTCTGTCAAATAAAATTGTGATGACAAAAGAAAAAGGCAGAGGTTATTCGTAACGTACTTTCTTTTTCATAGAAAAGAATTTTAGATTTAAAAAAAAAAAAAGAAAAGAAAAGATAAGATCTATTTATTCTATTCAATGTATTATAATATATTAAGAAATATGATTTTTTTTTCTATTATCTTTTTATCGATCTTTAATTTACATCATTATGTTGAAATAAATGTAATAGTATTTAACAAACAAGACCTCATATCTGTTTATCTGATTTAATTTAAGTGATTTTTTTTTTCTTTAATAACAAATACAATAAAAATCAATTCTTTTCTTTTTTTTTTCTTTAACATAAATAGTGTTTATTGTTTGAATAGAGGTTTATAAAAGAGACTTGTAAATTTTATGACATAATTCTCTTCTATCAACCAAGTTGTATCCATATATATATATAAAAGTAAATAGATCACCTGTGTGTTGGTAATGGTTGTTATCATCATGAATTATCATTTTTTCTTTTTCTTTTTTTTTTTCATTTTAATAGCATACCTACATTGCACGTCGTTTCTTTTTTTTTCTTTCAGAAAGAATCAAATATTTCTCATACATGAAACAAGCATTCGATTCGTTTTCATCCTGAAAACCCACAGTCACATACACACATATACTTTTTCATTTTGTGTGTATCTATAAGTAAAAAAAAAAAAAGACGAAGGCTAAACGACGAGAAAGAAGAGGCTGACTGTCATCGTCATCATACACAGAGAGAGAGAGAGAGAGAGAGAGACAGAGAGAAAGACGAAAGAGGCTGTTGTGCACTTAAGATAAGACTCTCTTTTACTTTGTATGTGTGTGGTGAAGAATAAATATATCATGAGAAAGACAGAAAGAACAGTGATAAACGAAATGCGACGACGAACAACAGATGAAGTTTTGCGAAAAAAGTAAGTGTAGACGATGAAACGCTTGTTGAATAAAGTGAATTTTGTGGCCAGTTCTTGTGATAGTTTTCAAATCGAAATTGAAAGAATTTTTTGAGATTATCACGAAAGCTGGTTGCACAAGCGTTTGTTCAATGTTTCACCCCTACAAGAAAAACAAATACAAATAATTAATAATGTAAGAAAAACATAATAATAATCATCATCATCATCATTAAGTGAATAGAAACAAACCAAAAAGAAAACTTTGTGTTTCATTCATTCGTGATATCTGTGAATGTTATTATTTGTTACCATTTTTCTTTTCTCTTATAGATCCTTTCTTTTTTTTTAAATAATAGATGTAAGTATTTGTATGTGCAACAAACTCAAACCTTGGCGTGATCTTGCATGTGGAGTTCCGACCGTGTCTCTTCCACCGGTTGATGTTTCATCTTGATTGTCTTTGTTTTTAAAAATAGGTTCACGACGATTTTTTAATAATGTTTGAATTTTTTCATATGCTTCACATTCATTAATAATAAAATCATTTCTCTAAAAAAAAAAAAACACAAGCAAACGAAGTGTTTTTGTATATCTTTATGATATCGATTTAATTTACTTGTAGTTCAAGTCTAAGAAGACCTTGATTAGGTATGGAAGGCGTTGTAGTTGATGATAAATTTCGTGTTGAAATATTCAATTTTATAAACATTTCTTGATATTGAATAGCTTTAAGAATATATTGTACACCTGTATCAGTCATTCGATTTTCTGTTTAATTATAAAAATAAACATTTTATCTTTATTTTTTTCAAAAACAAAAAAAAAAAAGATGAAACTTTCTTACTTGATAAATTCAAACTAAGTAAACATCTATTTCCTGGTAAAACAAGATCATTATTTAATAATTCAGCATTATGATCAAGTAATGGTATTCCATCATTAATAATAAACTAAAACAAAAATAAATTATTCATATTTATTTAGTAATCAATATATATATATATATTTATATGAATGCCAATCTGTGTATAGAAAATAAAACATTAGTGAAGGTATCCAAAAAAAACAAACAAACCTTTTCATCATTCTAATAAAGAATTTGTATGAAAATTCAAAAGTTCATATAAAAAAAAGTTTGAAAATAACTTACATCAAGTTCACTTTGTGGTGCTGAACGATTTCCAGGCGGTACAGCAGAACCTTTTGGATTGCCAGCTGTTTTTGCAAGTTTTTCTGTACTTTGTTTACCAGCAGCACCTTTACCGGGTTTAGTTTCAGCAATTGTAGCACCTTTTTTAGCTGCTTTATCATCTTTTTTTGGTGGTTTAGTAGTTTCTTTTATATCAGGCTATGAAAAAATCAAATCAAATAAGGAAGTAAATATTTCAATCAAACAAACTTTTCCTACAGTACCACCAGCACCACCTTTTCCTTTTGATGGTAGTGTTGTTGAAGTAACTCCAGATTTTTTTCTTCCAACACCTGTTGGACTTGAAGTTACTGAAGTACGTCTTTCACCAACATGTCGCCTACCTGAGGGAAGACTTGGTGCACTTTCAGATATTGATGAATGTAGTAATAATTTTCTTCGATAAATTAATTCATCTTCTGTTAAAGGAAATTTACTTAAAACTTCAGCAAATTTTTGTGCACCTAAATCACTGATATCATTTGAACTTAAATTTAATACAAGTAAAGTACGATTAAATTTTAAACTTCGTGCAATATGTTCAGCACCCTCATCACCTAATGAATTATAAGCTAGATTAAGTGTTTGTAATTTTTTATTTTGTCGACGTTCTGTTCCTAAACCTTGAGCGATTAAAGAAGCACCACGTTCTGTTATTTGACAATGTCGAAGAGATAAATTAATAATTGGTGAATTTTCATCTGTTAAAAGAACTTCATAATGTTCAAATGGTATTGGATTAGCATCAAGTATAAGTGCACGAATACTAGGACATTTTGGTAGAATAGAAGCTAATTGTTTAAGTGTATCATCTGTTAAACCTGTATGCCAAAAATGAAGAGTAGTTAAACGTTCAAGTGTAGGAAATGATTGAGCAAATATATCTAATATTGCACGATCAATTTTCCATGCACGAATAAGAATTTCTGTAAGAGTATCTTGTTTTTCTGGATTATCCATTTCAACTTGAATTTTTGGTTTGAAATATTCAAGATTATCACGTAGGGAATATGTTTTTGGTAGAGAATCTTCTATAAGAAAAGAATAGAAGATATTTTTTGTGTTTTATTTTTTTCTTGAAAAATGTTTTCTTTGTTAATCTACTAACCATGAGAAGCTTCTCCACTATCAGCTTCACTTGGTTGTTGTTGTTGTGGTTGAGCAGTGGGTTCACGTTCTTTAACTGCTGCACCTTTAGCTGTTTTAGGTGCTGCTTTATCTTTAATATCAACTATAGATGATGCTGCCACTGGAGTTCCTGGTGGATGTGGTCGTGGTACAATCGGAACAATATATGTGATTTGTGCTTGTCGACATAAAGCTTCGAAATCTTCCAAAAATTTTCCTTTGCAATGATATGGTTCAACTAGTTAATTTAAAATATAAGGAAGATAAGAATCAAATAGTTTTTCTATTTTAAGATGAACAAAAAAAAATTTAGTTTCTTTTTTTCTTTGTTTCTTCTTTATAAATAATTAATACCTGTATCTGTCTTTTTAACAGTGGTATTTGGAGCAGTATTTGTTGTCGATTTGATGCGTGCTCCTTTAGTTGTCATTTTATAATGAGTTTTGTAAAGAAAAATAGACAAACAGTAGGGGAAACTTAACTGAGAGGAAATTGTTAAAGAAAACTTTAAAATGAAAATGCACTATTGAGTTTCAAGCAAAAGGATGGAGAGAAGGCAGAAGAAGAAAAAAGTGCAAACAAAAAAGTTTGTATGGACGAGGCAAAGAGTGACAATAATATTCACGTCGTTAACGACATCCATAACAAGGTGAGTGAGAAATGATTTTGTTTGTGTTAAATGATTCCAATTTTTTATTTCAAGTAGGTCAACAGAAGAGAATGAAAAGAAAAGAAAATGTGAATCAATTCAAAGAAACGACTTTTTTTTTTTGCACTTGTATTTGAATTTGAAACATTTATAATCACCTTTTTCATCACTCGATTCATCGTTGACAACAGATGATGATGAACGCTTGGAATAACTTTTACGTAGTTGTTGATTTCTAAAGAAAGATGAATTAATGCATTTTACTGATTAAAATGTAAATCTGCAGGGAAAAAATAACATCCGTTAAATTAAAAATGTATTCATTATGGAAATGTCAGAAAAAAAGAATAGTCTATTTGTTATGAACAATTCATTATAATACTCAACCAAAACATATTCACATGATTTATTTTTGGTTTTTCTTTTTAAATTAAACTATTCTTATATATTCATTAAATAAATTTTGATTGCAGTTCTATTTATTATGAATAAGCCTTGAAATCATGTTCATTAACTGTTATTTGAGCTAGATGATGAATAAAAGTGTGTTGTAGAATGTCAGAGAAACCTTTTAGTTCAAGATTTCCGTAGTATTTATCATAATTGATAAATAAAATTTTATTTAAGCTCGTTTAGAAAAATGAAATTTATCTTTGAATTCTACTTACTTTGGTGGCATTTTTTCTGCTTATGCCAAGTATCGTTGTATAAAAGAAAATGCAAAAAGAATCTAATTTCTATCGATTTATTTTCTTTTTCTTTTTACGTCCGTTAAACTTTAAAGTTTGACATTCAAGTAAATATGATCAATTTTTTAATATGCAATCAATGTTCGTTCGCACACTTCAACAACTGCAATGTTTTCTCTCTCTCTCTCTCTAAGTGACAAGTGCATTTGCATTTGACACATTAGTTCGTATTCCAATGATCACCATCTTGCTCGCCGACATTTAATAATGAATCAAAATTTAAAACTTGAAAAAATTCAAGTCGATGAAAATCAGGTTTTTCACTATCAATAGTTGCAGGATAAAGTGCTTCATATGTACGTTTATCATCTTGACCATGAATAGCATAAGCATTAAATCGATCAACATCAGCTGGAAATAAAGAACGAGGAATATGTGCTCGACCAATCCATCGATCAGATGAACGATGTTCAACTTTATAAAAAGGTAAAGGTAACATTTGTTTTAATACTTTTCGACGATCAATTAATAAAAGAACAAGATAATGACCATGTGGAGAAAATTCAAGTTCAAGATAATGATTTGTTGATGATGCTAAGAAAAAAAGTTCGACTACTTCATAATTCCATAATTCAGGATATGGACCAGATGACGACGATGATGATGATAAAGGAGGAGCAGGATCATTAAAAAATGGTGCATCAATTTCAATAAGAAGATGATCTTTATCATTAGTAGCTGAAAGAGTTATTTGAACTGGTTGATGATTAGTAATAGGAGTTGAATTCCATAAATTTGCTATTGTAAATTTCATTGTCATTGTATTCGTTTGATGTTTGATTTTCAAAAGAAGAATGAAGACGATAAAACTAGTACAGATAAGAATACCGATTAAATGTCTTCTTATCATCAACATTAAATGGATACACTCGAATATTTATTTATTTTTTTATTTCTATAATAGAACAGAAAGAAACACTGATATAAAATAACACACATTACATGTATGTGTAAATTAACACATTCGGCACGATTCGATTTTATTAGAGAGTAACTCTACAAATTCATTTTCGTGTGCATTCGTCTTTTGGCAAATGCACTCCTTGACCTTTTCATTCTGTGCTGGCCTGTCGTTTTCTCTTTTCTATTTATAACATCACACGAAGCAAATTGACTATTCTGCAGTTTCGCAAAAGTCTTGTGAGATCTTTACTACATGGCATACATTCGAGAAGCTGAAATCTGATCCGAGACAAAAATTAGCAACCCATTCGAAGCACAAACTCGCTGATCGCAAGCTCGAAAACAAGGAAGGATCTACACGCAATGTTGACAGACGCTGTACTGGCTGCTATGTAAAGGGAAGGGCACAACAGTCAAGATAAGCGAGCTATGCGGCAGCAAAAAAAGTAATAACCTTTTGTTCTGATAGTGATAAATTTTTTTTGTCTTGGTTGTTTTAACAAAAAGCATCATGCTACGGAATAAAGGACTCAAAAAAAAATACTGAAGGCAGAACAGATGACACACTATGTCTAACTTTCTGCCTAACAAAAAAGCAAAAGAAAGTGCTTTTTTATACAGTTTCTCGTTAAAATATAGCGTGGCCTACCAGTGGGCCACATCGTGTCGAATGTGTTAATATAAATTTGTCTTTTATAAAACCAGATCTGTTATATCTTTTTTTTTCAAAAGAAAAAAAAAACTCGTTTGCATACATTCAAAAATAGGTAAAATAAAAAGATGTTCGAATACATAAACTAGAAAGCAATAAGTACTGTTTGTATGTAACGATGCAACAAAGTGATTCTAATATCCATAATATGAATCAGATCATGATCGTCTAAAAATAAATATAAAAAGTAAATTTATTTAAATTTTTTAAAACATTGTGGAAAAATAATTTGGAGCTCAATACTGTTGTCTTTTCCTATTACAATCATTATTAATTAATTCATGAATAACAATACGAAAATTTTTTTCTAATATATTTTTCGATAAGACAAACGATAGAATTTTATTTACAATTTAAAATGAAGTATGTTCAAGAAATCTATTCATCAACATAATATATAAAATCTACTTTGAATAAAAATGAAAGGTTTTTTCGGTGATTCTACAGTAACATACAGATTTTATTTTTGAATAGAGTTATTTCATAGAGCAGAAATTATTTGATGACTTCGTGAACAGAGAAAATTTTAAATAAGACAATTTTTGATATTAATAGACTGAAATTTATCGACTATGATAGAAAATAGTTTTCATTAATGATACGATTCAAATTTACACTATTGAAGTGTTTTTCATTTTTAACCTAAATTCTATTTTTTTATTTCATGATTTTTGGACCATTTTTACAAATACATGGTCATTCTATTTAAACGAAAAAAAAACTAGCCTAACATTTTTTTCCTGTTCTATTGTCATTTGAAGTCAAGTTTGGCAACAATACATTTCTATCATTACATGAAATATATCAGAATTTTAGCTTTTATGAATTGAAAAAAAAATTCTAGTTTATTCAATTGAAGCGTATGATTGTCTTTGACCAGAATAATTTTAAATACAAGAAGCCTGTGTAATGTGAAACGACTGTGAGGAAACACTTGACTTTAAAAAAACTCTTGATTTACCTTCTATTTCAGACATTTATGTATCGAGCTGTTCCAATTTGAAGCGACACATCAAGTTTCTTAATTACATCTTCCAACTATCGATTATGCCATAATCATTATAATGCACCAAATATTTAATTTAGATACTGGTAAAATCATTGTATCTTTCACATCATTTGTCACGATTGACAAAAAAAAATTTTGATGATAAACATCGTCTAATTTGAGTTTGCACATTTCGTAAAAAATTTCACTTATCAACTGTTTGACATGAAAATCGCATTGATAATCTTTAAATCAATGTCAAAAGAAAATACTTTACTAGCACAAACATATTGGTATACGACTACTAGTTGACTCATTGACATATGTTAAACTATGTAATGCATTATTCCTTATGATATACTCAGCTATGAAGATATTGTATATTTTCTCTGAAATTTTTGATGAAGACTAAAATCTATCTAAAACACAACAATAACAATAAAAGTATATTTCATTACTATTATTTAAGCTTATACATTTGAAGTTCTGACGATTGTGTATTCACAGGGTTAATGCCAGCATTCATGATAAATCATGGATTTCGACATTTGTCCAATCAATGAGTGAGATACATCTTATTTTTTATTTGATCATTGATTTGATAGTTAAACCTCCCTATCACGAATAGTGACCGGTTTAATATTCTAATAAATTTTCACATATTTGCAACGTGTATTTATTTTCTACGGAAAAAAATGATATCTCTTTCACTATTACTACCCAGAAATTAAAGTAAAGAAAAAACTTCGATAACACACATAATAAAACAAATGAATACTAATGCTATTGATCACTTGTTGTCGAGTGAACCAACAATATCAATAAGCATTCTTTTCCCTGTGATCAATAATCGAAATAGTTCAATTAATCATCAATCTATTAACAAATTCTTTTAATTTAAAAAGGAGAAGAAGGACGTTTCAGAGATAATTTGACCCAATTTGAGAATGAAAATATTTTGATGTAAACATTTCAACAAATCTAGAAGCTACACAGCTACTTGCCACTCCAATAAACGTTAGCTTAATCGCTTAAACTTTTCTCTTGCTACGGTATTTAATCTTCTCGACTCTCTAGAAATTTTTAAGGATGACAGAATCATTCGTTTATAAAAGAGTATTTACACGATTTGATAGCCACTTAGTAAACAATTCAATAGAAAATTTAATTCTGAACAGTTTAGAATATCATCGGCTTGTGGTCATGTATAAAATATATGAGAATAATGTGTACCATCGTTCTGTATTGTTCATTTCTGAACAAGAGTCATTTTTGTAGCATCGATTGTTTACTTCGAACGTAGCTTAACTTCTTGGATCCTGCTGTCTTCAGATTGAAGACAAGCAGAACAAAAGAAAATTTTTTCACTCTGTCGTATCGTTGAACAGATGTTCAAAGAAGAGAGAATGGATAGAGAATCGTTCATTCACGTAATGGCGATTGCCGATTGTTTTCTTCTAACTTAGAAGAAAATATCAACCAAATTTAATTTGAGATTTATTTGATCTTATGCTCTTTTTTTCTTTAGAACTTGTTACGATTCATTATATTTTACTATGAACTACATCGAAACACTCTGGATAATAAAAAGTAGATGCATCAGGACCTGTTTCATAAAAATAGGTCGTTTATTTTCGGATTTGTTTTGAACGACATAAAACACAACATTTTTGAATGTGGTCTTGTCTGCTTTCGTTATATTCAGTCTTGACTAAAGCGAAAACAAAAACACTAGTTTATTACAAATTGACTTGAAACTTACTAGAAAAATGCTGAAATTTCACAAGTTTTCAAGGAACAATACTGCTTGACAGTAACTTGGCACGTTTTTGAGAAGGTGTAGATTCATTCAAGGGTTTTCTACTTATTCCTCTTGATTTCATAGTATCGCAAACGAAACTATAAAAGCGTAATAGTAAGTAATTAGAATTCGAAAAAGTTCTTACCAAGAGAGAAATTTTGAAAAGTGAGCGTAGGAATCATAGGCTCGATACATGACAAAGGCATTGAATAGAAGTCGTGCGAGAAAATGAATGCCCAGTTTCACAAACCATCGATATAATTTTCGACCTCCATATGCGTGATGAAGCGAACTATCACTTAGATCCAATCCGCTCATGTTTCGAATGTAATCAATAACCGATGATGGTTTAGAGACATATTTCTTCATACCACTTATGAATACTCATAGAGTGTAACAATAAAAAATCAATTTTCGTACCTTTCTCGAGCCTTTCAACTTGGACGATACCAACCGTACCTTTAGAATTAACCACATAGATTTCTTTATCATCAGTAGCTTCCTTGTCTACAAATTTAATCTTCAG